ATCTTTTCTTTGGTGACCAAGAACTATTTAAGTCACGGAAACATTTGTATCATGAATTCAAGTAAACAAAATGACTTGTGATGAAATAGTAGGCTCTTGGTGTGATCCGTATCTGTCTTTTCATGTTAAAACTTTGCCCTACAAGGATTTTATATACAATTTTTAAGATCAAAGTCGAAATGAAAGATTGCGTCATATTGGATGATCGAGAGTATTGCTCGGTTTCTACTACCGCACTAAGTGTGTAAAACAACCGTGAATGAAGTTCAGAACTGATGCAACACATTCTCATTAGATCATTAGTCTAGACATTTACAAAACAATGAAGATTTCAGCTTCATGGCTGAATTCAGACATGTGATCTAAGGGAGTGATTGCGTTGCATGGACAATGTCTTCCTACAACTTTAACTTCTGAAACTTGTGTAGTTATTTACTATGATACATCAAATACTATTTATAAGTAATGTACTTCACAAATATATTTACCTTATTGTTTAATTAATATCTGCAAATATCAATTAACTCGCATGTAATATATTCGCTGAATTAAGATCTGAAACTCTGACCTCAAAATGTATTTACAGGAGACGTACATGTACCTGGATACAGAGGGTTGACATTTAATGGTCTCAGCTTACAGAAAACTCTCGGCCTACAATATATAAAGAGTCGAAAACTTCCGGGACCGCTCACTTTTAGAGCTCGCAAATCTGTATCTGCAACATTCGGGAAAGTGATTTTCTTCGGGGCTGATTGTCTCGACTGCTTTAATATGAAATTGTTGGCTTTATCTTTAACGAATGCTTATACATAATGAGATTTGTAGTACGATCTGCTACCAGTACAATCATGTAGTGGTCCGACCGTTAGAAAGGACTCCTTAGAATCAGTGTTAATAATAAAATATTTGGTAGTCATAGTTACCGTTTTGCTTATTCTCTGGAGTCTTTAATATCAGTTTTAATTGTCAGACAGTTTTGTAGCCATGGATTATCTAATCGTCTATTCTCTGGACTCCTTCGTTAGTGACATCATTAATGGTCAGACAGTTTGGTAGTCTTGGGTTACCTAATCGTCTTTACTCTGAACTCTATGGTGTCAGTATTAATGGTCAGACAGTTTGGCAGTCTTGGGTTACCTAATCGTATATACCCTGAACTCTATAGTGTCAGTATTAATGGTCAGACAGTTTGGCAGTCATCGGTTACCTAATCGTATATACCCTGAACTCTATGGTGTCAGTATTAATGGTCAGACAGTTTGGAAGTCATCGGTTACCTAATCGTATATACCCTGAACTCTATAGTGTCAGTATTAATGGTCAGACAGTTTGGCAGTCATGGGTTACCTAATCGTATATACCCTGAACTCTATAGTGTCAGTATTAATGGTCAGACAGTTTGGCAGTCATCGGTTACCTAATCGTATATACCCTGAACTCTATAGTGTCAGTATTAATGGTCAGACAGTTTGGTAGTCATGGGTTACCTAATCGTATATACCCTGAAATCTATGGTGTCAGTATTAATGGTCAGACAGTTTGGCAGTCATGGGTTACCTAATCGTATATACCCTGAACTCTATAGTGTCAGTATTAATGGTCAGACAGTTTGGTAGTCATGGGTTACCTGATCGTATATACCCTGAACTCTATAGTGTCAGTATTAATGGTCAGACAGTTTGGCAGTCTTGGGTTACCTAATCGTCTTTACTCTGAACTCTATAGTGTCAGTATTAATGGTCAGACAGTTTGGTAGTCATGGGTTACCTAATCGTATATACCCTGAACTCTATAGTGTCAGTATTAATGGTCAGACAGTTTGGCAGTCATGGGTTACCTAATCGTCTTTACTCTGAACTCTATGGTGTCAGTATTAATGGTCAGACAGTTTGGCAGTCATGGGTTACCTAATCGTATATACCCTGAAATCTATGGTGTCAGTATTAATGGTCAGACAGTTTGGCAGTCTTGGGTTACCTAATCGTCTTTACTCTGAACTCTATAGTGTCAATATTAATGGTCAGACAGTTTGGTAGTCATGGGTATATACCTAACTCTATAGTGTTAGTATTAATGGTCTTTACTCTTACCTAATCGTATATACCCTATAGGTGTCAGTATTAATGGTCAGACAGTTTGGTAGTCATGGGTTACCTAATCGTATATACCCTGAACTCTATAGTGTCAGTATTAATGGTCAGACAGTTTGGCAGTCATCGGTTACCTAATCGCTTGTTCTCTGGAGTCTTTAGCGTCAGTATTATTGTTCAGACATTTTTGCAATCATGGGCTACCAAATCGTCGGTTATCTAGAATCTTTAGTGTCAATATTAATGGTCGAACAGAATGACAGCCATGGGCTACCTAATCGCCTATTCTCTAGAATCGTTAGTGTCAGTATTAATGGGCGGACAGTTTGACAGCCATGGGCTACCTAATCGCCTGTTCTCTTGGATCTCAGTATCGGTGTTAATTCCTCTTCGTTCTTTTTTATGAATTTTATTACTTGGATTTTCTTTAATCTTCCCTAAGGAATACACTAAATCCCAGATTAGGTTTAAGTATTAAATTGTTATAGCGTCTATTTTTATCACTTGTGTGTTATCAGAACTTGTTATAAGGTACACATATCAACCGTTGCCATGGCGATTAAACATCAGCAACAGTTAAGTGAAATGACCCTTGCTTGGTATATTTATTAGTTCCAATTTTTATTGATTAAAATCAATAATAAATAAGCTATACGTAATTAGTACTTTAAATGTATTGTTACCATTACATTTGCCCAACAAAGATTTTTTCTCAATGTCACAGCAGGACCCAGTTATGCAAGGTATTCATATTTCATTTACACCATAGATTTTCTATAATACATTCATGTAGATATTCAGAACGAAAGGATAGACATCCAATGTATAAGTATTTATGGTATACACTTCTTATAGTAGGATTTTTGTTCTTTCAGAGTTTTAGAAATTTGCGGTATATATTTTAGAAGTACTTTGAAATTCCACAGGGACAAAGAAAATTCTTGGAAAAATTCAAACATAAAATCGATAAATATAACCGGAAGAAAGATTGAAAAAAAATCTTTAAAAAGAACAAGAATAAGAAAAGAAAGATCCTGAATGATAAGCGTCTTCAACATCATTGATAATACCTGTTATGTTTTGATTGTCAATCCAATCGTAAGTCATGGCACGTTCACAATTAAAGCAAGCTGATAAAGACGAAGAACATATAAAAGATAACGAGCACCAAACATTCATAATAATAAAACAGAAATAATCACTAATCATACAGCTTAGTGGAAGGTAAAGGAATCCCGTGCATTTTATTTTATGTTATTAAAGGCATTCCGATCGATTTGGTCAATATCTGTTAGTTATTTAACGGCAGAAAGTGATCAATAAAGCTAAACTTAAAATAGAAGGCTTGACACAAGGCCTTTGTAAGCACAATTACATGTACGTGTCAGATCATTATATTGTTTTTCGTGCAGAAAATAGTTATTGACATATGTCACCGTAACCTACCTTCGTGTGATAATAGATGTACGATTTCTTCGTATTCATTCGTCATTGTATAATTACGCTCCTAAATTGAATCTAAGGTTCAAGGGTCAGAGGTGTGAGATCGATAAGCCACGACACAGTGTATTGTACAGGCAGTGATTCCGTTGATCGATAATGGATGGGCCATATAAGGATATAGGGGCTGAGGGCAGGGACTCGCCTTCTGCAGCCTTGTTGCAGTAATGAAGAACGAATCATTTCTGCAACTGGGATCAATTATAGAGAATGTTCTAACTCTCACAGTTTGTATCATACTTCAAGTGCACGTGCAAATATGTTTCCTCAAAAATGATTAAAATGTTATCTGCATATACACATGACACATTAACCCAGTATATGCCTCCCTACACCCTCTCCCCGACACTTCCTCAAGGCGTAATCACTAGGCCGTACAAGTAGTAGTTATTGCCCAATTATAGGAATCCAATCGATTTGTTTTCGATAAAACCTCTGAAAAACAACATACATGTGGCACTATATTTGAATAGGTGTATTTGTTTCCTCCTGATTTACCTCCTCTATTTACAAATTCTTCGTTTGATATCATTTTATATTTTTGGTAAATCGACGGGTAAATCCGTTTGTAGTTCCTCGCGTTTATATGCGGTATTGATGCCCGCAGTGTCTATTCCTCTCGCTGTTACGACATCATAACTCTATGTTTCGTCTGATGGTGTTATGAATATTTGATGATGATAATGTGTTATGTAGTAAGATTTACGGATCCCAGTTTAAGATGTTAAGACAATGCATTACAAATGTTCTTCCCTAATTGGTCGATTCTGCTCTCTATTGTATCTGTATATACATATATATAAAAGAAAAAAAGAAAAAAAATCCTGTTTAAGAAATAAACATTTTTGTTTTCGATGTTTGACGTATGTTTCATGATTAAAAGCTCTTTTCTGTGGTTTGTGTTGATATACAGGGAATTTACAGATGTTATAAACTTATTTATTCTGTCAGTTTTATCAGCATGTATAGAATAGACAATGAGTCACAAGTTAACTATATTGCTGGTTTAAAGCCCTGAATATGATGTTAAGATGAAAACAATTCATTGAGTATATATTAATTAAAAGCGCACCTGTCTCACTTTTTTATTTGTAAAAGTAACATATGGCATATATTGTTGAATGTAAATATTGATTAGACTGTAGATGGTTACGTTTTATAAGTTTAATTGATATTCTATTACACAGAATAAGTCTTTATACACTATTAACGATGAAGCATCATACGATCGACACCCCTTATAGATCCTCATTTGCGACTCCATGTTGTGTGTATGTGAGGAGACGTTGTCCCATCATGAGCACGGTGTGTATTGTGGCTGGCACAAACAAGACTATGCTACCTAGACAGTGTGTTGTCGGTCATCATGATTAGTCGTCTATATCTTGTGGTAAGCTTGTTATTGGTGTGGTGTTGGTGAACAGGTTAAACACACGTTATACGCTGATTATGGCTTTATTGTTGTTTACATCGCTCCAGAGCACCGTACTGATACACTGGCAGAGGAATTTCTGATGTTTTAGCGGCGTAACCGCCACCGGTGAACAAACAACTAAAAAGTTTTGTTCTGGGCACATAAATAAGTGTATACGTGAGATTTATACATTTTTTTCTGAAACGAGGAATGTGTGAATCGCCCGAATTACAGTCGGCTATAAAGGATTTCTTGAGCCATGTGAAGACGGACATGCCGCAGGTGGGATACTGTCCTGGGTAAACCAGATGCCACACCTCTCAGCCGGACTACAAATGAGGTTATACTAAAACGATCTTAAATATTTATTCTGTCATAAAAAGGTACTGTTAAATGGCTATAATTTCATACATAGATGTTTACTACACTGTGTGTATATCTGTTTTTCCACACACGTGTGTACCACGTGAACCGGTGACCACTAACGTGTTAAAGCAAAATGGTTCTCATATATTATAAGTACTATAATGAATTCTGGTTTGACAATGCACTGGTCCATACCATTTTTGCTTACTACGCGAACTGGGTCATATGGTATTGTTAGCCATTGTTATAGTTTGACAGATTCAGGTTTTCAGTGTTTGGTGAGTCATTCCTAAAAGTGCTTTATTACTCCACAATCCTAGCCTGTTTTCTTTTTATAATGCACAAATATATGTAAATTAGATACATTTAAACTTTGAGTGTGACCCACATGTGGAAAAAATGTGTATATCTTTTAAAACATCTCGCATGAGAGGAAAAGGTTATCTTAACAATGTGTGAAGAGTAAAAACTGTATTTTTTGATATCCACGAGAACAAACCAGACTTATTTATGTTTATGATTAAGAAAGAATTTAATAGTTTACAGGTAGTTTACATTGATAAAAAAATACATTGCTAAATCTCAATAATTGAGGTTAAAAGCCTCGACTTAATGAGTATGAGTGTAAAAACTGTTCACAAAATTGTGCCAGCTATTTCAGTCTAAATAACTAGGATTACACAACGTCTCATGCGAAAAGGAAGTTAATCTTATATCATACAAACACTACAGCAAGCATGTAAGTGATCTTGTACGAACAAGACATGACTATTGCAGGTATATATCTAATACATTACATTGCCTAAACGTGTTTACATTCAAAAGTATATGTGTGTTACCCGTCACTATGGCATTCACAGATCACAATTTCCTATCAAAATTTCTCTTACCAACAGAAATGTCTCCTATGTAAATTTTAACCGATGACGTGAAAGCATATCTGCATTTTGTGTAGATATACTTTTCGCAAGTTGAGTCAGATAAATATTTCACTTTGACCCCAGAAACATTTTTGAAATATTTTTTTTTTATATATATCAGATATCAGATTTGTGAATATGAACATAAAGTTCAGGTGTATCAGTTTTCACTAAATGTATGCATGCATTGTAGTAGGATAGTGTTTAAAGTACATATCTTAGAGTCAATACACATCCCGGTGTGATGGGAGAAGCTCTCTGTTCATACACATGTGTAGGAATGGGCTAACACTCCTATGTCACGACAGGGTACATATACATGTATTACGTTATCAAACCTTAAGTCCAATTTGTTATCTTGGTGTTGTTTGTTCAATCTTTGTAAGGATTAAACGTTATATGTTGGATGTTGTGGCCTATTTCTTAAGAAACTGATTAAAGTTATACTGATACTAATTTCGTTATAGTTACCCATATGTACGAATATTGTGACATTTGATGAGTTACATTGTGAAATATTACAGTTAAATTACTCTGACACATGTTAACATACGAACTATGCAATGGATTAACGTGATGCTTTTACATTACAGATGAATTCGTAAGACTTCATGAACATGTCACCTAGTAATTATATCTACCATGAAGAGGCAGGGCTGCTTCCTCGTGCCAAGGGATTCTGCTGTCGGCGGTTCTCAAAAACAAAGATACTGGGACTGTTGTGTTTTGGAGCTCTTCTTCTGTTCTTGTTGACTCTCAGTAGTCCTGACCTTAGCCCGAAGGATAATTATGGTGGTAAAAGACAATTGTTGCCAAACGTTGTTGGACTCTTTGGTCCAGCAAACAAACCAGGACGCGGTGGTAAATTCAATACTTACATTCAAAGCAACATTCCTGTTCATAAAAAGACAGATCTTCGTCAGAGGCTGCCGCAGTGTCTTATCATAGGTGTGAAAAAGGCAGGCACAGGTGCCATGGTACAGTATTTAAAATTACACCCAGATATTGTTATAGCAGATAAAGAACTTAACTTCTTTGACTATGAGAGAAATTTCAAGCTGGGATTTGATTATTATAAAACCTTAATGCCACCTTCTTATGAGGGACAGATAACCATGGAAAAAACTTCAAATTATTTTCACAATAAAGACACTGAATGGCGTGTGTACAGTATGAATACTTCTATGAAAATGATTTTACTAGTTCGAGAACCTATTGCTCGTGCAGTTTCCGATTACCTCCAGAGAAAGCAGAAGGATAAAAGCAACAAAGAATTAACACCATCGTTTGAAGAATTAATTATTCGGCAAAAAAATGGAAAAATTAATGAGGGATATCCAGGAATTCGTCCTTCGTTTTATTACAAACACATGGTGCGATGGCTTAAATACTTCCCTCTTACACAAATCCACATCGTCGATGGTGATAACTTGGTGCGGAATCCTTACGAGGAAGTTCATGCAGTGGAAAAGTTTCTTGGATTACCTCACTTAATAACACCAGATAGATTTGTGTTTAGTGATAAAAAGGGATTTTACTGCATGTCTATTGATGGTGTCAATGGAACTAGACAAGAGCAGTGTTTATCTAAAGGCAAAGGTCGGAAACACCCGGATGTTGATAAGAGAGTGATGGAAATGTTAACAGACCTTTTTAAACCGCTGAATGAACAGTTTTACAATTTAATAGGTAGGAAATTTAACTGGTAGTTATTATCAGTTGTAAAATCTACACTGGGAAATGTTCTCCATTAATGAAGTGTTAAACTAATTGGCTTGCAATGTATTAAATAAGTGTGGATTTTAACTGCACTAGGCTCTCTATTGTTTGAGTAATGAACTATTTTAAGTTTAACATACTGATTATATATATATTTGTTATCTTGAACACACGTGTTTTGTTTACAGACTTTTCATGATGTGTTAACTTAAACAATGATAATGAAAGTTAAATGTTCGTTTCAAAGTGATATATTACGTTACATTTGAATATGGAGACCAAGTTGTAGAACTGGTCACCACCGCTGTCCCATTTAGAATTCCACTTCGTATAATGCCTGTTTATCAATATGTGTAAACGTGAACAAAATAATTACATGTGCCCAGAAGAATTACAGATAAACATAACACTTTTAAGTCTACATCAGTTGATGATTTTAGATAATAAACACTTTTAAGCCAATACAGTTAGAAGGACTGTGACAAAGATACTAAACAAGATAACATCATTTATCAAACATTAGGATTATAACCAAATAATGCTTTGACAGAGAGGATAATAAGGGTCTGGATTGTTAAAACCTAGGAGGCAACTGAGGGAAATCCAAATCGGTCATGATGATGTTAAAAAGCTTATGGAGAGGTGAAAGTAGCCCCCTTTTTATTTTTATTTATTTATTTTTTTAATCAACGTTTACATTACATGATTTGGCTCTGTAAATGTGAACTTGTTTAACCAAAATTGTAACTAGCTGTTGATCAAGGATAAAATAAGTAAGATAATTTTTAAAATGATATAAGAATATTATCTGCCTCAGCAACATCTTTATACATGTTAGGTATGGTAGCGTTATTAAACCGGTAAGGGATATATACATGCATTGCATCAGAATACTTACAAAAAGTAGCCTATATCTGGGTTTACTATCACGAATGACATTTCGGTTTTAATACCTGAATTGAATGACATTGTGTTCATTTTTAATGTTCTTTTAACTTGTTTTTATACAATTTGATAACTCAACTTTTGCTGTAACGAGTATTTGGCATTGTCAACTTTATGTTTGGCCTAAAGTGTGATGTACCATACGCAATATCAAGTTTTAAACTGGTCTGAAATGATTGTTTAAAAGTTTTGAGCACTTATTTGATACTGTTAAAGAGATGTGTTCTTGCTATTTTAGACTATAAATCATACAAAAAGTACTACATATGTAGCTGTTTAAAATTACAACATAAATAAACATATCCAGACAACTTGAATTATGTCTATTTGGTGATAAATGTAAAAAGTTTGAAATTTGATCCATGATAAGCACTCAGAACTTATATATAGAGTTTATTAAAGTTATTTAGGTTTTAACTTGCTTTGTGCAAACAGTCAACGGAAACGTCTAAGTAAATCGTCTATAATATTTCAACATTACTTGTATGTTTGTATCGATTGATAGATTTACTGCCAACGAATCAGCAATGACTGAATTATCATTATACTTACAGTTTGTGTATGTGACATTTAGAAATATACACCGTGTAACATGGTAGACTGTCAATGTCATCCGAGATATTAATAAAATGAGTGTGTACTTTGTATATGCGAATGTTAGTTATATGGAAATGCATGTTCGGAAAAAATGTGATCTTTCATTCAGTTACATAGAGGTGAAAGAAAAAATGTCTACGGTATATGTACGTTCATCCAGTATTACTACTGGCACCTCAGGTGGCATATAGGAGATAGTGTGTTAGTATATCATTCCGCATATTAAAATTATTTGGACATACGTGTAGTAGGTTCTTGAATTTTACTCATTCCTCTGAAACACTTATATTCTTTTGGAAGATATCTCTGTTTGGCACAATTAAGTCATTGTTGCTTGAATAGTCAAGCAAATATCCAGCTAATGATGTTATTATATCTAATTTGATGTTTGATCAACATTTAATTTTTTATGAGCTAAATGAAGTTACATGTATGCTGTGGTATTATTTTTATAAGAAATCAAGTTTTAACATTTTATGCAAATTTACGTACATACTATGTATGATTAAACATTAAATAGTAAAGTATGAGATTATTACGTTTTTCGATTTTGATTTAAAACATCTGATTTGGGGTAAGTTAAATAATAATGATTTTTTAATCATGTACATAACTATTTCCCCGCCCACCATCATCAAACTGATATCTAGTACAGTTCCTCAACAATCAACAATTCTTATAATTATAATCATACCTTCACTAAGTTATATTATAATACTTCAATCCATGTAGGCTTTCCATGGCTATTATTATCATTATGATTATTATTACATTCCAAACGACCCGTCAACACACAAAATGTCCTTAAGACCATCAACTGGTGAAACAGATCCAAAAAGGAAATAAGATCAAACAAACTAATAGATAAAAGACAAATGCTAAAAAATCTCTAATGGTTATACTATCACAAAAGATTAAAATACTAAGTCATATCATATTGTACAGACCAACATCTTTCAGAATTTTATTAATCTGCAAAGTTTCGAAAAGGGTATTTAGACTTGTAACGTTGCGGTAACAAATTCCTCGAGTAGACTAGAGGTCAATGCAGTTCAATATAAAATGTTTCCTTTCATATTTTTCTTGACTGACTTGAGAACATATATTTTATTTATTTATTTATTTTTTACATTAGGTTATTTCGGACAAAAAGATATTGTCATATTTATTTCTTTCTAGACAGTTCGGATGGCAGAAAAGGCACAATTGTTGACCCGAGGCCATGTTTAATGAGTCTCAAATGTGAATGTTTTTTTTTTGTTCCAGAAGAATTGGACGGATCTTCCAATCACGCCCACGTTTCCCCGAAACCCTCTGTGCTTTGTTCCCACGTATGGTCTGCTGCTGGCCAAAAGAATAACTTTCTCTGTTTAGTTTTCTTCATTATAATCTTTATACAATATTCTTTATCAACAATTATCACTTGTTAACCTTGGAGATCTGATATGTACTAAGAGGTAAACAGATAGAGTAGGTGTAATAAAAAGTTTATTTTGACCATCATGTTGATATATTTCACAAGTGAGTCTAATATTTTAATATCTTTCACGAGAGCATAGCAAAAGTGAAGGATACAAGAAAAAAAATTGACATAGTAGTGAAATATATTCGTTTTTTCTGAAGACAATATTTGATATTTTATTGGTGACATTTTCACGAACAAAATAGCCAAATTACTGACATGTTAGAACAAATTTAAAACGAGGATGCTTGCAAGGCTTTTCGCGGACACTATTCACTCATTATAACTTCGCAATACGCGATGAAATATAGCCTTCTCATATTCCCATAGAAAATATGCCTTATTCCTGTCACTAGGAGACAGAATATAAAAATGTTCAAAGGAAGGTTAACCTATGACAAGTTACTACGCGGCAACCTACATCCTTTAACGCGTTAGTTCCACATTCAAGACGTTTGGTTGGGGATTGGATTTGATCTCTGATAAGGTAATTTGCGTTGCATTGTTCGCTGACATCCATGGAAATGAACATTTACCACAAAGCTGAAGGTCGTGTTACAAGCAAACAACCCTTTCAGATGTCTGATTTTGTGTTTTTGTACCGGGCTTTATGATTTGTGAATTTTATCAGATGATTTGTGTTCTCTTTTCGTTTGCGTCAGTCTACAAAAGTGTCATTTTACATTAGTGAAAAATAACACTTTTATCAATGAGATATTTCACTGGCAAAACTGTAGTAAATACATTTTGTTAGATTTTAAAAAGATGTGGTCACATTTTGAAAACATGCTATGCAGCAGGTTACTTGTGAATGAAAAAAAAAAGATAAATGATGACACTGCTGGAGATCTGGCAAATCAACGGAGTCTGATTTGTCATGTAAGATTGTGCCAAAATCAGCGAAAATTAATCATAAACGTGGTGAAGTAATGTATCTATCGGGAAAACTAGTATCTTTACATAACACCGTGAGTAGAATTGACCTAAAACGCCAAGATCAAGCAGCTTGAAGAATGTCGAACTTCATAACAAAAACAGAAACATTGCAAATACATAAACATCATCTACTGTATACAATAGCGAAAGAAAATATATATATATTTGTCGTCATAGAGAATGAATCGACCCATATAGGGATCTCCAGATAGGAACATCCATTAGAAAAATGTTTCATTGTAATTTATGGCATAGGAAAAACAGTAGCTTTTCTCAAGTATCACTCCCTGTTCATCACGCTTGGGTGCATAGGTGTAAACGTGATGGATTATCCTGTCTGAGTACAGCCGAGTCGCTATGCAGATGATTGTTACCCTTTGAATCTCTGCTGGTATTTTCGGATCATAATAACATAGTTATTCTTGTCATAAAATAATTTAAAACATGTAGACATGTAATTATTTAATTCTGTTAAATTAACAATTACAAAAGCATAAATAGACACTACAGTGTTATATCAATACACAAAAGTAACAAACATTAACCTATTAAACCGTATATTCATCTTTAAAATGTTGATAATCCTTCGTCTTTATGTGAATATCTCAGAAGCAGCTGTTCGCATTAAGCCATTACTGTATAGGTGTACTAAATCTTTATTAAACCTATACTTTTATCAGAATAACGGTTATTAAAATACATTAAAGATGGTCAAAATGACATAATTTCAGTTTTATGGATTTCTTGGGGGGAAAAATGCTCTTTGAGAGACATCGTATCCAACATCTATTAAATATTCACATATTTTCATGTTTCATTGTTAAAAGAAATCTGAACAACAGTTTGAGAGCTAAGGAAATAAGATTTTAAACAAGACAACAATTAAAACATTTATACACATGTTCCACTTTTAAACGAAATAATATTTTAGGGCAATGAAACAGTACGCGAATGAAGTACAGTGTATGTGTTACGTGAGCAGGGACTTTGTAAACGTGAGCATGTGTGTTTTAACGTCATGGTATTCATTTGTACACGCAGTTTTGATAATAACAACTTTATCGGAATACATCATCAGATCAATATACCCAGCACGGCAACGTGGTTTTATTCATTTTACAACTCAGAGTCTTGTATTTTTCAATTGGTCCTCGTGTTGAAATATTTAAGACTGCCAACTATATTGCGGCACTCTGCATTGCATGTCACAGATTATTACAGAGGTAAGGAAGTGGGACAGAACGAAATCTCAAAAACAACACTGTATTACAGAGTATGTAAATATGCGATTTTTCCTTTCAAGATACATGATACGTGTAACTATGTACTGACTTTTTTACCTCTAATAAGAAAAGCTCTCCAACTACGGAGGAAATTTGATCCAAGCAGACGACTGCGCAGCCGATCCTGGTGATCGCGATAATTGTGAAATAACCGTTAGTTTCTAAAAATGTTGTGTATTTCATTTTTTGCTTATTCTGAATTAATCATAGTAGAATATTCTCTTTTAAAGAACAGCATTGCATCAAAAGTGAATATAACGTAGTTTCTTAATATGAAACAAACTAAAGTATTGGTCCACGTTTTCCCTCATAGAAACACAAGCTGATCTGTGATTTTTTTTTACTAAATTATCCCTAAAGAAAACTGTCTGTACCTTTAGGTTTGAATATCACCATATAGAACAATACCACACAAAATATTGTAAATATTTGATATTTGAAAGGGATGTTCGAGCATTGGTTTAGAAGTCCGTCGATAACATTCTGCCAATAACTGTACACAATTGTTTTATATAGCTGAACATGTCTTCGACGTACAAAACAATAATTGAAATAATTGACAAGTATTGAGATAACAACAGCAAAAAAAGTATGTTTTGTGATCGAGCACTGGTATATTTCTTTTGTTGTAAATGAATTTTCTCCTCTCAGGGAATAATAGGCACTGCTTGTAACAAGATGTAATGTAAAAGGTTGTTGGTATGTTATAAGATTTAACTGCTATCATCATTATTTTTTTTATTTTTATTTATCTATCAATTTAAAATATCCATAAAAAGAATGTACTCTTGATATAAACCGTCAGAGTACATGTACCTTATAATGTATTATCACAGATTGCAATATTTTTCCATTTTTTTTTTCACCACAGAATTGGCCAATCAAACGTAACGTTAAAAGAATTACGTCGAAGTTTACGTTATTAGGTAATCAAGTAAAATATTGGCCAATGAAATCCTAATTTTATAGAAGATTAAATTATCAGATAATGACATAAACTAGTTAATCAATGCTTATTTAAAACAGGATTAACCAAAGTTAATGTTGTTGTTGGTGGTGGCACGGTGAGGATCGGTGAGAATGAAAATCAGTAATCAGTGTTTGTTTTATTGTTCGGTTCATTGTCAATTTAATTTCGTTTCTTATTTTCCAAACAAAATACCAACTTCAGTTCAATATCAGAGACGGACATTGCAGAGATGGTAGGGATCGCACCATTCCATCGAAATCGGTCCTGCGGTGCTGAATATGGTGTGATTATGAAAGATTGATGATGGTACTGACCTACAGAAATCGACCTTGCAGTGTCGAATAAGGTGTATTAAAGAGATCGATCGTTCAATACCGAATAAGGTGGGAGTGTCATTGA